AGTGTGTATAGTTTAGGGTGTAGTGTGTATAGTTTAGGGTGTAGTGTTTAGGTCCCGGGTGTAGAATGGAGGGTTTAGGTTGTAGGAAAAAGTGTTAAGAGTTTAGCATGTATGGTTTAGGTTGTAGGGTGAAGAATGTAGTGAAGAGGATGTAGAGTTCAGGATTTAGTGTACATATTAATGTTGTACATTAAGGATGTAAGACGGCTAGTGTTTAGAACGAGTGTGTACTAACGTGTCGTAGTCCTGGACCACGTGACCCACAGACCACAGAGCAGACAGGTACTGGTTCAACCCTTCTGGACTCATGTAGTGGAGAGAGTTGGGCGAGCGAGGGTCTCCATTAGAGCCGGTGAAGTCGATCCCCACCTACAAACATTCATTCATTATTAAAATACATGTTCATTTAATCAAAACGTTTTAACTAAGACTTGATGATTAATAACTGACACATCGTTATCCATCTCTGATCACAAGGAACCCGAAATCAATCATCTCGTTAACAATACATTTTGCAATCTATTTTATTTCAATCGTGAACTTGAATGTGATGTTGACGTACGGTGAAGTTGATCTGGCAGCCGCCCATCACATAGTCCAGGAAGGAGTACTGGGTCAACATCTGCAAACACACAGTGTGAACAAAGAAATCATGAGTATATAATAAGACAGACATATGTGGTCTCTGGCAGTATTTTTTATACCAACTACTTCCTTTTTTCTCTGATTATCTTAGTGAATGTATGTGATCTCTACATACAGCCATCTATATGTTGTTAAATTATTAAAAGACTATAATGGTGGAATAAGACTTCCAGTCTCCAGTACATTGGAGCTGTAGTGAATAGGGAAGTAAAAATCAATGCATATAAACAATGGTTTCCTTCTCTATGCGCCTCATAGAGCCAATCAGGCGGCTCTGTTCAGGTTACAGATGATACAAAATTGATCGAGGGAGGAATTGGTTCTCGGACTGAAAACAAGTTCTACTGAACATCTTTAAGGTTTACAAAGCAGAGAACTCTGGGTAACGTGGTCTCTACCTTGCAGCTCTTCACAGTGACGACTCCAGAGTTCTTGTAGCTCTTCTTCTTCTTCTGTTTCTCGGAGTGGATGCAGTCAAACGTCACCTGGAGGACAACACATTGGACAGATTAATGACCTCGGACCAGCCAATAGAAAGACGCCAAATGTTTTATTGTCAGTGAGCTCACCGGTGAACCACTTCCAGCTTTCTGCAGCTCGGACACTTTAGTGGTGAAAGAACCAATCAGATCGTGAGTTCCATCACTGTCGTAATCAGAGCAATCCACCTGCAGAGGGAGGAGGAGAGTTCATGTTAGTGTTGAAGATTGTATTGGCTGTTATGGCTGAAGGTGGATTCTGATTGGTTGAACCTTCAGCGGTCTGTCGAGGTCGCTGGAGCAGAACGTCTGCATGGGAACAGAGAACTTCTTCCAGGTGGGACTCAGATTGTTCTTCACCACCTACAAAAAAACACCTTCATCATTCATAATGCTCACCATCATCTTCATCACAGTGACGACATTTTGTCAACGTGGTTTTAAATCTCAATTATTTCTCTCTAACAAAAACTATTCATGACTACATGAGCAACAATAGCTCAGAGTAGGTAGTACAAACAACAGTGTGTGTGTGAGTGTGTGTGTGTGTGTGTGAGAGTGTGTGTGTGTGTGTGTGTGTGTGTACCTCTGTTCTGTGGACCAGCTGCCACTTTCCATCATCTCCTTGTTTAAAAAACTCCAGGAACGGATCAGACTTCCCAAACGTATCCTGGACAGAGAGAAGACAACATGCTGCCGTCTCATTCAGTGTGTTAAGTAACTTAAGTAACCGGTTTACAAATGTATACAGATATAATTAACATAACAACAACTAATTGTCAGGTAAGTTTAATAAATCTTTTGCCGCCCTAAAACCGGAAGTTAAACTAAAGCTCATGATGAAGTGACTTCAGAACTAGTAACTGATTTAAATAAACTGTAGTATTCACTGGCTAAGGCATTCCTAAAGTTTTAATGGTACAATCTGAGTTAGCTAATTATTTACACACAAACTTAGTGATGGATTTATGAAGAGCTGCTTCAACGCAGTCCTGAAGACGTGGAAGTGGAAAGACGAAGATGAGAAAGATGAAGAGCAATATAAGAAATAATGAGAAGCAGAGTTACCTTTTTGTCCAGATTTTTAGCCTCAAACTCCAACTGAATGGCTCTGTTGTCCTTTATCTCCTCTGCTGTGATCTACACACACACACACACACACACACACACACACACACACACACACACACACACACACACACACACACACACACACACACACACACACACACACACACACACACACACACACACACTTTACTTGATAGTCACAGTAATGTGAATGTTAATAAGCTTTTGATCAGGATTCTCCATGTATAATATATAACATTTAGCTTTATAATGATAATCTGTCGATATAAAAAAATATATTAAAAGGTTATACTTATAACTAACACACACACACACACACACACACACACACACAGTACATACAGTGATGCTTCCTTTCCCTGCAGGTTTGCCTTTCTTCAGCTGCAGAGGTCTGGTCAAGGTTTTACTGGCAACTATCTGAAATTCACACAGAGGAGGTTAGTCTTTGTCTGGATGAAAGCTCTTTATAAATGCAGCGAGTATAAGTCAGAGACAGTGCTGTGATCACACAGGTTGTCCAGCAGAGGACGGTGTGAACCTGAGAAATGATTCGACCTCTTAGTACATATTGAAGAGCTGAAATAATTACATCAATTAATTGGTTTCTATTTTGATAATCGATTAGTAGTTTCAGTTCATTTTCAAGCAAAAGAGACAGAAATTCTCAAATGTGAGGCGTTGCTTCTTCTCTGAGTCAGATATTATTGTAAACTCAATATTTTGGGATATTGGACTTCTTGGATATACTGCGCATTTATTTTATAGAAAAAAAAGTTGATTAATTGAGAAAATAACGAGCAGATTAGTCAATAAAACTAATTGATCGTCGCAACCTGTACATAATGATCTAATATGTTAATATTGTTTACATGTCCAATGTTTCTTCATAGAAAATGCTACACTCTAAAGGTTTAACAACCAAAAAAGCATCAGTACAGCCTGAAGAGCTGACACACTGGTCAATGGGGGAAAAACACGCTTCTACAGAGTCTGGTGTGAGTTGGTCTGGTGTGTACCTGTCCCAGTGTTAGCTCCACCCCTCCCAGGTAGTCATCATCGCCGAGATCAGAGCTTTTATTGTCGATATCGTAGACCCCCAGCTTCAGATTCTGCACCGACTCAAAGTGATAATCCACTCTGAGACGCTGACTGAAGGACGGACTGGAGCTGTTCTTCAAACGCTCGGTACGAGCCAGCTGACAGGGAGACATTTCATGAGTAAAAATCAAATATAAAATCAAATGAAATAATTCAAAGACCCGTGTATCCTGTGTGTTACCTCGGTCCAGCTGTCCTTTCCTGAGCTCTGCAGCAGCACACACAAAGGATCCGACTTTGAACCGACATCTTTATCCAGCAGGTCAGTACAGGAGATACTCAGCTCCACTTTAGAGACACAGTCCGCCATCTGAGGGGGGGGCAGAGAGAGACCTTCAGATCAGGATTCAACGCAACAGACAATCAATCAGCAACTATTTTGCTAGTTTGTCACTTGTCAAGCGGAAATCACATTATCCAACATTTGCTTGTTACAGACTCTCGTTTGTGTGCATTTGCGTTGTGTGACGGTAAATTGAACATCTTTGGGTTTTGGACTCTTTTGTGAGACAACAACAAGCAGTGGGAAGATGTCAACTTGAGCTTTAGGGAATTGAGATCAATGTTTGTCACCAACTTATAGAGCAAACAATTAATCAAGAAAAGAAGATGTGTTGTAACGAAAATAATCATTAGTTGCAGCCCTACTCTACACCACCAAAAAAAACGTATATAAACCAAGAACTACAAATACGGAGCTTCACTGCAGTCTCAACACTGAATCCAAACAGTTTCTTTATGATTCTTCAAACTTTAATCTGCACTAAAACTATTCATGTCATTTACGTCACTGCTGCACCACCAAAACAAAGTCATAAACATTTTGCAGTGAGGGAAGATGAACATGAAATGCACCTCACTTTACGGTGCGTCACAAGCTCTGTGACACTCGATCGAGATAACACTGTAGGACAAATGTATCTTCGCCACATGCAAAGGAGGCAGACAGTCCCTCAACACAGTGAATAAAGTGGGTGAGACACAGCTGAAGCCTCTGAGAATCTTCCTCAACAGCAGTTACAAACTGGGCTGTGTGCATGAAGTTGTGGTGAATAAACTCTCATAAGGAGATGAGGTCACTCACTGATAAACAAGTTGAATATCCAGCCTGAATTGATGGAAAATACTGATAGTTTTGGAAACTTAGAGGATTCTGTTCAAGTAAAACTACAAAAAAACTACAAACGTGAATGTAACTTTAAACATTTCATATATTGATAATAAATTGATTATCATTGCATTATTGTTATTAAACAAAGACACCAAATACGTCATAATGCCAAACCAGTGGGGGAAGTAACTATGTACATTTACTCAAGTACTGTTCTAAAAAGGACAAGTCTGAGGTACTTGTACTGCTTTATACTTTACTCCACTACATTTCCAACAGAAATATTTTACTTTTTACTCCACTGCATATATTTAAAAGCTATGTTACTAGTTACTTTTCACATGAGGATTTTAAAAACCTATAATGAGCAAATACAATACATTTTACACTGTAAATTAAACCACCCAACTGTATATAAAATGGGTAAAATGCTCAATGAAACAGAAAGCTACATGATTGAAAAGCTGTTTACATTTTATTGCATCAGTACTTTAATCTGAAAACATAATAAATGAGAATGCAAGACAACCTGAAGGCAACACTAGAAGATATGAGTTAAACCAGCACAATAAACACACATCCTCTCTCTCTCTCTCGCGCACACACACACACACACACACACACACACACACACACACACACACACCTCTCTCTCGCGCGCACACACACGCGCACACCTCTCTCTCGCGCGCACACACACGCGCACACACTCCTCTCTCGCGCGCACACACGCACGCGCACATACACGCACGCACGCGCACATACACACGCACATACACGCACGCACGCGCACATACACACACGCACGCACGCGCACATACACGCACGCTCACATACACGCACGCACGCGCACACACACTTTGTAAATCACCTTATCAGAGCCGCTCTATTTTATCTTCTTTAAACCACAGGAACAAATACCTTTGGCGGAGGACTAATAGCTAATGTTTACTCCCACAGTCCGGAACAGGAGACGAGACCTTTTCAGTCAGAGTAAACGCACCCGAGAGAACACTAACCGTTACCTCCCCACTCGGTTAGACTTTTTTTTACAAAGATTCGCCACAGCTGGAGTTTGTATTTTAGCTGTAACTGCAGCAGAAAAACTGTCGTTTTGTTTCCGTTCGGCGGACTAAGCTAACAGGGAGCGGCACACAGACATGCTGACATCTGTTTGGACAGACAGCTACGAAGCCGCGTCGTGATTGGATAAAGTGACTGTCAGTCACGCCCTCTGGGTTCAGCCGTTAGTAGCCAGCAGGAGCACAACTAGAGATACTTCCGACCAAACCCCTTCAGAATAAAAGCAGCACCACAACAAATTCTTTCAAATCCTCCCATACAGCAGAATTGGCTGCAATATAATCAGTTTGTAGCAAGTGCTTTGCTCCTTTTGACAGTTAACACAGGTTAAACAGGCTGCAACCTATTTAATTAAGTTCTGAATTAAGTTGCAAGTTGCCACAAAACCAATAAGAGGAGATCAAAACTCCAGCAACACTTGTAGGATAAACAACTTTATTGTTGTTGTTTCCCCTCCATGCACCTTGGAGGGAGGTGAAGAAATCCCTGCTATTCTTCTATGAAGCCAGTAACGCCAAGAAAATAGCACAAAAATAAAGTAAAGAAATAGTAAGTCAGTAGGATAAAATAAGCTCCTTTTCTAAATGACTATTCAAGTCCATGGTCCCTCCAGTCCTTCATAGATATCTTGTAAAACTGAGATTGCTCTCTCCAGTCTAAAAGAGTAGATAATATAATCCAGACAAATAATACGCTTTATTTAATAGATAAAAGGTTAATGCAATAATACTTATTACAGTCCTAGATCTTAATTTTTAATCTTTTTGTCCAAAATGACACTATTGAAAATGTTGTTACGGGTGAATTAAACTAGGAGTATCCTACATTCCTACAGTAATCAAATCAAAACAAGTTTGCAAGGTTGTTTAATAACACACCATAGCAGCAGTGTTTGTACATTAAATTTGTTCATGAACAAATATATGCATTGTAAAATGTTTAATTTAGAAACTGCTGTGGCTGGATAATCATCAGCATATTAAGTGCAGCCTTTACAGTTCACATTAACTTCCAGACTGGTTAAAAGGTAAATTGATGTGCTTTTATGTTGAAGGGCAGACATTCAAGCAAGAAGTACTGTTGCTGAAGCACTCAGTGTTTGATGATAAACTGTACAGAGATGGTCAGAGACAATAGAGACACGTTTCAGAAGTATAATTGAGTAAAACAGCCTGATCCAACCTCCACACAGAGAACAATACACTTTATTCATCCTCTGCAGCAGAACCACCGTGGAGTCAGAAAAGGCAGCTGAGCGTCACATCACTGATGAGGAACAGAACAGGAAAGACCAAACCACAGAAAAACACAACACAACACAGTTCTGAGAAAGAGAAAGGGCATCGTGTACAGAACCATAATGTTCTATTAGATCCTGTATATCACATTCACACGCTCCTTCCTCAGCCATCATCAGATCATTCTCATCCGCTATAGATTCACCTCCCTGGAAAAAATAACCTCACATAAGCTGCAATGAAGAGCGAAAAACCGGCTTACACACAATGTGCTGCATGTGATGCTGTCAGACAGACTCGTGGTGAAATAAGAGGGTTACCGAATGCTCTTCAGTTGGTCATGATTTGATTTTATATTCACACAACACAACAATAAATTAAACAATACTGTATCACTTTAAATGTCAAATAATCAAACAGTTTAGTTGCAGAGACAGAAGTCTGGAATTAGAATTGAGTTTGTTACCTAAACTACAGGTCTGGACTGAGCTAGAGCTCATATGAGAAGAACAGTTTTATAGATCTTTTACTTTTTAAGATTTGCTTGGAAATAAACAGTCAAACTAATGAAAAAAAAAAAAAAAAAGAAATAGGCCCTTGATGCCATCCTCTACAACAGGGGTATTCAATTAAAATTCAACGAGGTCCATTTAGAGAGAAGTTCCTCATGCAAAGGTCTGGAACATCACAATAATGTCTAACTTGTGCTATGATTTAGTCCCATATACATTGAATTAGCCAACAGTTGTATGAACGTCTGTGTGTAGTCAATAAGTCAAATCAAATAAATAAAGTTAAATTGAATAATATCCAAACAATATTTATTGTCCGTTTTCAAATTGAACTGGATGAATTATAGATAAATAATCTAATAATAAATCTATGTTATTCTCTTGGGTCGTTTAAAATAAGAGCTGCATTAAACAATATATTAAATTAAAGAACAGAAAGCTTTTGAAAAATGTGCATCTTAAACTAAAGTACTTACTTTTAGTAAAAATGAATTTCCCTAAATTGCCCTGCAGCTTTAAATTCAGTTCGTTCAGGGTGAAGTGATGTCAACCAAGAAAACCACGATATTATATTTTTCTCATCTTCTAAAAAGAGACATTGAATGCTTCCTAGCTCAGGAATAATAGTTTGTTTAGCAATAGTTTCCCTTTAATATGAGCCTTATCAATCGATGTGGGCACTTTGAGGAAAATAGATGATTAATTTAATCCAAATAGAAGACCCTTAAGGTCACAGCAAACTACTTTTACATTCACTTGCTATACTGCCTTTGATTTGCATTTCTGCAATGTAACAACACCACGAGTGGGGGTAAAGATTTTGAGAGATTTAAGTTTTGCTTTCTCGGAAAAACAATTACAAACATTCTACCGTTGATGCAAAGGATCTAAACAAATAAATTAGCAACCCATCAGCCCTCAACTGTAGCATGCTGCATATTGATGAGTAATATTAAGTACCTTATATGGCATTGAAGCTGCCGATGAGGTCATCTGAATTCCAAACAAAACCAACCCTGACTTCCAACATAAAGAAATGTCATTCACTCAAATGAGCCCATGAATCAGATCCGTTTCCATTAGACAGTGAAGAGCAGACAGTCAGAGCTGAGTATCAGGTCCTTTTATTAGCTAAAGCTAAAGGAGAGTCCACATCACGTATGGTTATACGATCATACAAGTTTGTTCACACTGACAATAGAAACAAAAATGAGCTTTTAAAAAGGTGGAAACATCCAAAAACATACATACAACAAAAAAAAGCTACCAAACTAAAAATAATCTCGACAGATTTCATCTCAGCACTCAACAGTCCAAACAGCTATTGAGCAATGTGCTGCAGAAAGGGAGGGTAAGAAGGTGGCATTGTTCAAACACAGCAACATCAGAAAAGCGGGACAGAGGAAAAAGATTCAGTGGCCAAAAAGTACTTATTTACAAAATAAAACATGTCAGCAATCTGTCCCATATCCTCTATACAACAGAGCAGTGTCACAACTCAGAATTGTGTGTCAACATTTCACCAAAGCAACAGAATTGATGTTTGTATACTTGTTTTTACCAAAGCAACGGGTCATGTCAACATTTCACCAAAGCAACGGGTCATGTCAACATTTCACCAAAGCAACAGAATTGATGTTGGTATACTTGTTTTTACCAAAGCAACGGGTCATGTCAACATTTCACCAAAGCAACAGAGCATAGACATTTGATCATGGCAACATAGCTTTTTATCACCATTTTACGACAGCAACAGAGCAAGTGAAGATTTTACCAAGGCAACAAATTGTACCATATCAACAGAGCACAAACATTCTATCATAGCAACACACTCTGGCTTTTCATCATCACTTTATGACAGCAACAAACATGTTAAGATATTACCAGAGCAACAGAGCATTTACATGTTAAACCACAGCGGCACAGCATGTTTAAACGCATACAGCAACAATGTCTGTCAACCACATTGTGCTCATGATGTTACCATAACAAACAAAACAGATGAATATGTTCAGCGTCAACTGTGGACATGACTGCATTGGAAACAGGGTAAGAAAGGACCAAAATCCTGCCAACAACAACAGTTTGTGCTACAAGAGTCAGTGGATGAGCTGCAGAAAAGAGCAAAGTCTGGATCAGAGTCACAGGTGGGGGGGGGGGGGGGGTTACCTCTCATTATCTACACACAGGGGGAGGAGCTTCAGTGATTGACAATCAGCAGCAGGGCAAGGTGTACACTGAGCTGTAGTTGAGTTTGACTCCATAACCCTGCATGGATTATGTTGGCTTTGTGTCACCTGGACAGTTGATCCAGGTAGGTGTAACATGTAGTATTAGTCTGTTTTAAGCAGGGCTTCAACCCAGGCTTATCTTGACCTTGCGTGCTCCAATAGGTCGGTCATTGAGGTCCATAACAGCAGCAGTGGCCTCCTCGTGGTTTTGGAAGGCTACCATGGCCTCGCCCGTCGGCAAGCCTTTCTCACTGAACTGCAGGCAGACTGAGCCCGGCAGCACCTGGTAGCCATAGAAGAAGTCCATGATCTCGTCCACGGTCACAGTGAACGGCATGTTCTGAAGCTTTACAATTGTCGGGCCAGGAGCACCGCGTTGACTGTTGGGATTGTTAGATCCTCCGGGGGCCGGCTGGTTACGGAGCCCTTCGGTTCCTGGACTGAACACCTGCTGACCACCAGTAGCCCCGCCCCCTGGACGTCCTTGGTGGTTGTTGTTAGCCCCTACCCCTCTGGTCTGTCCTCCTCCTCCACCTCCTTTTCTGTTCACATTGTCAAAGGGCACCAACCCTCTTAGCGCATCCTGGCTGAACGGAGCTCCTCCTGCTGCTCCGGATCGAAAGCCCGGTGGCTCCAGCATTGGAGCCCCAGGAAGACCGGCAACTAGTGGGGGGGGCCAAGCCCAGATTCACCTCCCCCAGGCCTGCTGCCAGAGG